TTGAATCGCTCAAATATTCTAAAATAATACAAAAATCATATAAAAAAATGTTTCAAAATATAAAAGAATAATAAAATGAGAAAAATAAAAATACATTATATAATATTAATAGTTTTTTTTTACAAATTGATGTATAAAGGTTATATAAAAATTAATCTTAATATTTTAATATTCTAATTTTAATTAGAACTATATAATTTATATTACACTAATGACTAAAATTTATTATTTTCTACAAAAAATTATTTAAATTATCGAAAAATCTTTAGTTTGAAAAATGTTATAATTTGAGATATTATAATAAAAGATATTAAAATCATATAAGGAAACGAAGCATTCTAATCTTCATACTCTTCTTATCTTTTACATGGTAAGTTTTACAAAAATTTTAAATTATAATATATTCTAAACCAAAAATTTTTCAATAATATAAATAATAATAATTTAATAATTGTTTATAAAAAATAATAGATTACTCTGATTAATGCAATAAAAATTATTCCATTTAAAAAATTAAAATTAATCTTTACATGATTTTTACAAAATTAATCTGTAAAAAAATTATTATTGCGTCATGTATTTTTTTATATCAAATAGTATCTGTTTGAAGCATTTTTTTCGTACCATTCATATTTTTTCAAGATATTTGAACGATTCGAAATATATTTGGACGATATGTATATATGCAGGATATCTTTGAAAATCGATTTTTTCGAAGACATCAAGATAAAAGTTGTTATATAAAAATGCCAAATGAAATTTCTTATTGATTAAGATATAACTTATAAGTAATTTAAATTTGCGTTAGTTAAAATGAGACAAAAATAAAGTATGATGATATGCCGGAGATATCTTATTTTATTTAAATTTAAATATATGAAATTTATAATTTCTCAATTAATGATTTAATGAATCAATATTTATATTTTTCTCTAATTTTTATAATCGATTTTTCAAAAATATTGTATATATGATATTGAATAGATTAACATTCTGTATTAGAGTGATTCTTATAAAATGATCGATTTTTCTGAAAAATATTTTTTCCTATAATCAGATAATGTTTTTTTTTAATTCATCAATCATTCAATCATCCAAAATCAGACTAAATCATATAATATCAAAAACTTTAATTATTATGGGAAAATAAGATAAAATAATTTCTTAAGTATTTATTGCTAAATTTAATTATATTTATTTAAAATTGATAGATCTTATAGAAAATTGATACAAGAATCTTATTTAGTTCATATATTAACTTTCGAAACTTTAGATTAACTTTAAATTAAAAAATTATGTACTAAGATATATAAATACAAATGCATATTTATTTACATATCAATTTTTCAATATCCAATAAATGATAATGATATGATATATTTAAGGTTAAAATTTATTTTCAAATTCAAAGAAAAAAGAATATTTTTTAATTTTTTTATATTTTTCGATGTATTTTAAAATTGCATAATTAGATTTTTGTAACATATCATAATTTTTAAAATAGAAATTTTTATTTATTTGAAATGATAACATATTCTTATAATTATTTCAATTCTAAGGACTCTACTTTGACCGAAATCTTTTGCTTTAAATAATTCTAATTAAATTTTAGATTGTATTTTATTTAATTAATTCTCAAATTTTAAATAATTCGGAGATTCCTCAAATTTTGAATCTAGAAATTGTTATATTAGTAGTGCTGATACATTCTCTCGAATTTTGAATATGTAGAAAGTCTTATAGACTTTCTCAACTTTAGATAACCAAATCATTTTAAATTATAAATTATAATATCATTTTAAATTATAATATCATATATATATAATATTTTTTATTACATTATTTTTTATCAAAAGATT